CGAAGCGACCATTCCGACTTGTTCGGGGGAGACCTTGACAAGGAGGGTCGCGTCAATAACCTCTTCAGGCTTCTTGGCAGTTTTGGGAAGCTCTCGCGTGATTTCTCTGACCGAACACGGAACAAGATACTGAAGGGTCTCCATCCGAAACTGAAGGGAGTTACTATGTTATCTGACACGCTGAATGTGCTTTAAGCATGCCGCTGGGGCTCCAATGCTCAAACAAAAATCCCTGCTCCTCCTCCTCCTCCTCCTCCTCCTTCTCCTCCTCCTCCTCCTCCTCCCAGGGCTGGCTCTCTTCACCCTGGGCCGTTTGTAGCCCTGGCGGCGGAGCCTGGCCTCCGGAGGCCCAGCACGTATCGGAAAAAGCTGGCCGACTGGACTTTTCTCCTTGCCGGCGGGTGCTTTTTGCCGGCTTGTCGGCGGGGGGCCCCCACGATTTCTGAGGGGGAGGGTTCGCATGCGGTCGTTCGGGCCGAGCGAAGTGAACCCCACCCTCCCCCTCAGAAATCGTGGGGGTAGGGTTCGCATGCGGTCCACCATCCCAAGAACCCCCCCCGCCCGCAACTGGAGAGCCCCCCCCTCTGCCTTCTGGGAGAAGGCTGCTCCCCTCTCGCCACCGCCTCTCGCGCGCCGCCATCGCAGAGCGGGCGGGGCCTGAGGCTCGAGTGGGGGTGCAGCCGGTGCCGGCGGCGTGGGCTGCCTGCCGCCGCCGCCGTCGCCCCCGTCGTCACCGCCGCCGCCGCCGCCGTCGCCGTCGTCGCTGTCGTCGGCGTCGTCGTCGTCGTGGCGTCGTCGTCGTCGTCGTCGTCGTCGTCGTCGTCGTCGGCGTCGTCGTCATCGTCGTCGGCGTCGTCGTCGTCGTCGTCGTCGGCGTGGGCGGGCGAGCGAGGAGCGCGCGTGCCCGGACGAGCTGCACCCCCCTGCGAGCTCTCCCCTCTCTCCCATCCCAGGGGGGCGAGCCCCCGCGGAGTCCACACGTGCAACGTCCTAGCTCTGCACCGCCAGGGCCCTCATGTGCGGGCCCACCGCCAGGCGCCAGGCGCATATACTCGGGGCGAGCAGCGCACCGCGGCGGCACGCCAGGGCGGGCCCAGCAGGGCGGCGCAGGGGGTTCGTTTCATCCCCCGCCGCTTCCGCCACCATTCCCCTGCCCCTGTGAGCTGCAGGCCCTCCCTCTGGAGCACGGGGGGGCGCGTCTGGACGAACAGAAACGGTGATGCGGCGGCGCGCGCTGCGGGGGGGGGAGGGCAGACGCCTGGCGTCGTTCGGACGTGTGCGTTTTTTTCTTGGCGAGGAGTATCGAGGAGGCTCATCTTGCGAACAAGAGCCACGAAGCCGAAGAACGTGCTCGGGGAAGGGGCGTCCGAGCGATGGCAAGGAGGGGGCGAGCCCTCTCAGGAGGCTCTGGAGGTCTCTGGCCTTCGAAAAGCTTCTGGAGCCTTCCCCGAAGCAACGCGAGAGGCCTCCTCGGACGGCGGGAGGGCTTCTGAGAAGCCCCGCCGCCTCCTGGGACGGCCCGCCCTCTCGCATTTCGCCCCTTCTGGCGCGCCGCCGATGTGCAGCATCGCACATGGCAAGCTGCATGAGCATAGACTTTCGAACGTCCGCACGGACTTCTTGCATCTGCGCTGGGCCCCCTGGCAGCGCCTCGCGCGCGCCCGGGACGGGGGCCCAGCGCCGACCCAAGAACCCCGCACGTACCTCGGACACTTCATGCTTGTGATTTGAGTGCCTGTTCCTGTGTCGTGCGATCATGAGCTTTCCCGCCGTCGGGGGCGCCTGTCCCAGAGCCGCTGGAGAGTGCATACCCCTGCGGCACAGAAGGGGCCATCAGAGGCACCCCACAGCCAATTCGAGACCATCAGACAGGCTCGTTCTGGGAAGAAGGGCCATCATGGGCCTTCGCACGCATGATCTGCTTCAACGCGGTTCGGGGCCGGATCATCATCATAGCGGCCTTCGAGGTGGGCATCTTAGCTCGTCCACCGTCTCCGCGGTCACTCCAGTCAGCATCTTTTCCTGAACCTGAATGCCATTCCGTGCGCTGCATACTCTCCCCCAGCCTCCCCGGGGCGGGCGCGTCCCCGACGGCGGAGCAGGCTCGCCTTGTGCCGTCCGTGGTCCGCCCCAGGAGGTTGTCGGTGCTGGGGCCGAGCGGTGCGCGGATTGGCGCCGGCGAAGGGGTCGGAGGCGGGGGGATCGCGGGGCGCCTCCCGGGACGAGAGGGGCGGGTCGAGGGGTGGAGCGGGGGCGTGCCTGGAGGTCGATCGGGCGACAGCAGCGAGGGGCGAGGGGCGACACTACGAGTTTTCTCTCGGGGCCCGCTGCACCTCTCTGCTCCTGGAGGATGAAGAAGAGCTTCCTTGAGTTTTTTTTGCCGCGCTCTCTCTCTCTCTGCCGCTCTCTCCCTCTATTCCACTTACCCTCTCTCTTTCTCTCGCTCGTGCTCTCTCTCTCTCTCTCTCGGCCAGAGGCGGGCCAGCAAGCAGCAGCAGGGGGCAAGACTGGTCCAGACTGTCTTGGCCGGGCTCCGCATTCAAGTCTCCGCCGAGGGATGGGGATGAGGAAGAGGGGAGGAGGGGTCCTGTCTCCCTCTCTCGCTGTTGTCTCTCGCCTTCTCTCTCCGGTCCTTCATTCCCGCCGCGTGCACTTTATCCTTCTCCTAGTCATTTGCCTCCTCGTCCCCCAATATTTCTTAATTTCTCCTGCCGTCCCTCTCTCGTCCAAACATGTGAAGGGATCTCCTGCTATTTTCCAAGTAGCGTCCTTCTGTGTGGGGTTTACAAGTGAATCCTTTCGCGGGAGATGCTTTGGAAACTGATTCCTTCTGTGAAGGGGTAAGGGTTGACTCTAAGTCCGATTATTTTGTGCGGGACCTAGAAGTGCAGCCCTTATGTCAAATATGATTTGCACATCGATTCTTTCTGGGCGGAGTGTATCAGGATTTAGATATCAGTGTTCTGCGAAGAGACAGAGGGAAAGAGGGAGAAAGAGAGAGAGAGAAGGGGATGTACTTATCGGTCCCTTCTGCGTGGGAAGGACTTCAGGTGGAATCTTCATGTGGGCTCTACGCATACATTCTTTTTGTGGAAGGGTTCGGGTCATTCTCTTGCTGGGCTGAGTAGTCGGCCCACACTTACAAGCAACACTATAACCCTCCACGCCACCCCTTCTTTCAGTACTCCGCATTAACACTCCTCGCCAACCTTCCTCATCAACCGTTGTCAGAATGCCTCCTCAACCCTCACCCTCGTCCCTCCGCCTCGCCCCATTAACACCTCTCCACCCTCTTTATCCACACCCTCCTGTATTCATATCGTTTCTATTCATTCGTCTTTATTGCCACTCATACTCCTCGACCTTCGTCCACCCCCACTCTCACTTACAAACCTCGCCTCCTTACCTCTCAACCTTCAACATTCCTCCTTAACTTTTCTCGTCAACCCCACTCCTACCAAACCCTCCTCCACAACCCTCCTTCCAACCGTTTTCATCCTCATCCCTTCTCTTCCTGCCTCCTCCCTTCTCCTTTGTCCAATTTGACTTTCCGTACCCATCATACTTTCCAAGCTCTCTTCCGCAGCGCCCCTCAACCGCCTCCCAGGAACATCTCACGCCGCATCCTCCTCCTCCTCCTCCTCCTCCTCCTCCTCTTACTCCTCCTCTTCCCTCTTACTCGGCTGTCCTCAGCTCTCCTTCCTGACCCTCCTCCTCAAATCCTTCTCCCGAACCCTTCTCCCAAACCTGCCTCCTCAGCCATCGTTTTCAGCTGTCCTCATCCTTTTCCCTTCTCTTCCTGCCTGCTTCACTTTCACCTCCATCCAAGTTAATTTCATGAGCCCTCCTGCCAAAACATCTGCCGCAGCGCTCTTCAAACGCCTCCACAACTGTCCTCTTCCTCCCGCCTCCTTCTCCTCCTCCTCCTCCTCCTCCTCCTTTTTTCATCAACTCAACTCTCCTCAATCCTCATCCTCAACACTTCTCCTACACTTCCCTCCTCGGGTGAGGATGAGGAGAATGGGGAAGAAAATGACAGACGAGGCTAATGCGCTCGACGAAGGAGGGGAGGAGAAGAGGATCACCTGTGAGGAGGACTACCACCGCCCCCGCCCTTCTGCTCCGTTGTTCGGGGCGGGGGGGGCGGGGGGTACAGCACGACCCGTTCTTAAAGATGTGCGAGACAAGGGAGGGCATCGTGGGTTCTTGCGCAGGTGTTGGAAGAGTGCTTCCATGTCCTGTTCCAGGTGCGTCATCGGCCAGTCAGTGTGGCTCAGCGGAGCCCCGAAGTGGACCACGCGAAGCGTGTCAGCCCAGGACTGACTAACCAGGCCGATGCGCGTGCTTCCTTTGTCCAGCCTGATTGTCTTAACCAGATCGGTGGCGGGAGGGGGCTCTCCTCCCCTCCTCCTCTGCGGACGTTTTCGTTGCTCCCTGGAGGTTCTCCGGCCTCCAGGATGCTTCCCAGCAGCCGCGCCCCGCTGCGAGGCTTTCGGGGGCTGCCCGAATCCTCGCGAGCTCCTGCAGGAGAGCCCGAGGCCATGACCTCCCTCGGGCAGAGAGGGGGCGCGCCCGGTGCACCCCCGAGTGCGCGACGATGGCCGCGCTTCTCGCTTCGCGGCCAGGGCCGCCGAGCTCGCCTTCCGCAGGGGGCGGCGGGAGCCCTGCTCCCGCCTTCTGCGGCATGTTGCGAGCCCGCCCGATCTGTGATGGCCCTCGGGGTCCGAAGCTGGACAGCGAAGCTCGTTGCGAACACACTGCGAGGCTCGGGTTTCACCGCCGCCGCCGACGCCGTCGCCGCAGCGGCGCGACGCGGCGCGCGCGCGGAGGCGTCCAGGACCGCGGTGGAGGTCGGGGTCGTGGTCGTCGTCGTCGTCGTCGTCGTCGTCGTCGTCGTCGTCGTCGTCGTCGTCGTCGTGGTGGTGATGGTGGTGGTGGTGGTGGTGGTGGTCGTCGTGGTCGTCGTGGTGGTGGTGGTGGTCGTCGTCGTCCCCGCCCAGGCCAAGAAGAGCGGCGGCGAGCTGCTGGCCGTCAATGAGCTCTTCGACCGCGGACCGACCAAGGCGCGGCCCGCCGCCTTTCGCCGCTCTCCCTGGGGGCTCCCCGACAACGGCCCGCTTTGGCGCCCGAGCCCGCTCGGGCGACGTCGCGCGGGCCACCGAGCAGGCTCCGCACCGACCTTGCAGACGGGCTGCATCGGATTTTTGGCGTGGATTTCTGTCAGGGCAAAACCCCGAAACGGCGAGCGAAAAACGAAGTGAATTTCTCGTGGGTTTTTGTTATTCTTCATTCCTGGCCCCAAAAACGATCCGCACGACATTCACTTCGAAATCCGGAACGAAATTCTCCAGGACACTCCAGGCCCATCCGATTGTTTTCCGAACGGAATCCGCTCTGCCATGTTGGCGCCGCGAAGAAATCACGAGCGGCGACCATATCTGTATCCGCGCCCTCGCGGTCTGGATTCCGGGGCGCGATCCTGCGGATGCACGGCCTCAGGGTTGCGTTCCGCGCGGGGCATCCGCAGCAAGAAGCCGTAGCCGCGGGGCGCCGCGGGGTCGCGGCCAGGGGCGCGACCCGCGAGGCCGCGAGGCCCCAGGACGCGAGTCCCATGTGTGCCACTGTGGTGCCGCATTCACTTCAGCCCGGGGCCTGCAGAGCCATCAGCGAGGCAAGCACGCAGTCAGGCTTCAGATCCGCTGCTGTTGGCTGGGTCGACGTGCCCCGCCTGTGGCACAGACTTTCAAAGTCTGTGCCACAGGTGGGGACACTGATTGCCCACGTCTCCGATTCGAGGCGCCCGAAGTGCTGGGAATGGATCATGTCGCACTGCCCTCGCCTCTCTGATGCCGAGGTTGCGAAGCTCGATGACGTTGACCGCGAGTTACGCCGGGATGCGCAGCGAGCCGGGCATAGGCATCATTTGCCTTTGACTCCTGCTCGCACTTCTGGTGGCAAGGTCACTGGACGAGTGCGTGCATGAATTCATGGATTCGTTTTCGTTGTGATTATCTTGAGACTGCCACTCCTCGCCGAATAAAATGTTCTTTCACCCACGAGAGAAGTCTTGGCGGCAGGCTTTTGGCACGCTGCGGCCTCGAGGGGCCCCTGCTGGGCCTCGCCCGGGACGGTCAAAGAACGACTCCAGAGGAGACGCCGGTCCTGTGTAAGGGGTCCCGTCAAGGGGTCTCGAGTCTAGCGTCTAGACCTCCAGGGTCCACGTTGCGAACACATCATGACGTCGGTCCCTGAGGAAACATAAGCGGCGCGAGCAGAATTTCTCAGAGCTCCGCTCAGGTTCCTTGGATCTGGCGGCGCCTCCGGCGCCGCCCCCGGGGCATAAACGGAGCTGCGCGCGGAGGGGGGGAGGGGGGGTTGGGAGGGAGGGAGGGAGTGAGTGAGTGAGGGAGCAGGAGGAGTAGGAGGAGAAGGAGGAGGAGGAGGAGGAGGCGGAGGAGGAGGAGGGGGAGGATGGGGAGGGGGAGGGTACATCGCCGAGGCACGAAGTCCGCGCGGAGCTCCGAGAATACAGGTTTTGCCTTTCTTTTTTTCCCACTCCCTCAACGAAGCGCGGGGGAGGAGCACGCCCGTGCCGCCGCGCCCGCCTTGCGGGGTCTTAGGGTCCGATTTTCGACCCGCTCGATCCGGTCGGATGTCGATTCGGGCTGGCTCGATCCGGTTCGGTGGCCCATGCGTTACGCCGGGCCTGTCCCTCTCTACAGGGGGAAAATTCAAAAATAGTCAAAAATAGTCTTTGGGATTGACTATTCTTGAATGTTCTTTGGGCATTTTGGGCCTATTTGTAATTGTTCGTCCACAATCTGCCTGTAGGAGGACATGCCCGACCTAAGGCTGGCTCGATCCAGTTCGGTGGCACTGTGCGGCCCGATGCTTCAACGGCGCTGCTGTGCATCCCGGCACGGCCGCTCCTGTTCGATTTCGACTCTGTGCCGATGCAGCCCGATCCGGTGCGCGTTTCGATCAGGTGGTCCGATTCGGTGCCGACTGGTTCTGGGGCTCAGCAGCGGATGCCGCTGCCCCCTCGCGAGCACGAAGAGACCCACGCAGTGAGGTACCGCCTTCCCTTCGTCCTCTCCCGTCCCCGTCCCTGTCGTCGCGATGGTGGTCTTCGCGTGTCGGTGTGGTGGTCGCGTGTCAGCATCGTCATCGTCATCGTCATTGCCATCGTCATCGTCATCGTCATCGTCATCGTCATCGTCGTCGTTGTCGTCGTCGTCGTCGTCGTCATCGTCATCGTTGTCGCCGCCGCTGCCGCCACCGCTGTCGCCGTCGTCGCCGTCGTCGTCGTCGTCGTCGTCGTCGTCGTCGTCGTCGTCGTCGTCGTCGTCGCCGTCGCCGTCGCCGTCGCCGTCGTCGTCGCGGTCGCCGTCGCCGTCGCCGTCGCCGTCGTCGTCGTCTTTGGCTTTGTCCTTGTCTTTGCCCTCGTCCCTGCCACCGCCGCCCCGCTTTCTGCTGCGCCGCCAGGCCCACCGCCGTCACAGCACCCGCTCCGCAGCCCATGCCCCCTCCCCCCCGCACGTGGGGCGCTCCGGAAGGGAGGCTGGCCTCGCCGTCGGCGCGTCTCGCCCTCGGCGAAGGGCCGGCGGAAGGCAGCGGAGGCAAAACGGCGGCGGGGGTGCGCCAGCGGACGCTGGCGTGCAGTCGGGCCTGTCCCTCTACAGGAGGAAGGTTCAGAAATAGTCAGAAAATTATCCTGGCGAAGGTCACAGCCATACGCAGTTCTGACTAACGCGTTGTGGGTGCCGCTTTCGGTGGAGCGCCCTATGGCGCCACGAAGCGCGTGAGGGACGTGCCGTAATGGGTGGGGGAGATGCATGCGGGCGGTGCCACTGAGGCCTTCGGTGGGGCTCCGTATGGGCCACGAAACGCTGCGCTGGGTGCGCCTCGCTGGAGCTCCCGATGAGGCCACGAAGCGCTGTACTGGCTGGGGGAGACGCATGCTGGCGGTGCCTCTGGTTTTTTTCTGTGGAGTCCCCTAAGGGGCCACGAAGCGCTGTGCTGGGTGGTGGCCGACTCATGCGGGCGGTGCCAGTAGGGGCTTCGGTAGAGCTCCCTACGGGGCCACGAAGCGCTGTACTTGGAGGGGGGGACGCATGCGGGCGGTGCCATTGGGGCCTTCGGTGGAGCTCCCTATGGGCCCACGAAACGCTGCGCTGGGTGGGGGGTCGCATGCGGGCGGACCAGTGGAGCTCCCTACGGGGCCACGAAACGCTGTACCGGGTGGGGGGGGCGTATGCGGGCGGTGCCATTGGGGCTTGGTGGAGCTCTCAATCAATGGGGCCGCGAAATGCAGTACTGGGTGGTGGACGACGCATGCGGGCGGTACCACCGGGGTCTTTCTGTGGAGCCTCCTACGGGGCCACGAAGCGCTCTACTGGGTGGTGGCTGACGCATGCGGGCGGTCCCACTGGGACCATGGGTGGAGCTCCCTATGGGGCCACGCAGCGCTGTACTGGGTGGTGACTGACACATGCGGGCGGTGCCACCGGGGAATTGGGCGGAGCCCCCTTATTCATCCACGAAGCGCTGCACTGGGTGGTGGCTGGCGCATGCGGGCGGTGCCACTGGGACCTTCGGTGGAGTTCCCTGTGGGGCCACGAAACTGCCTTGCTGGGTGGTGGCTGACGCATGCGGGCGGTGCCACTGGGGCCTTCGGTGGAGCCCCCTATGGGGCCACGAAGCGCTGTGCTGGGTGGTGGCTGACGCATGCGGGCGGTGCCACTGGGTCCTTGGGTGGAGCTCCCTATGGGGCCACGAAGCGCTGTGCTGGGTGGTGGCTGACGCATGCGGGCGGTGCCACTGGGGCCTTCGGTGGAGCCCCCTATGGGGCCACGAAGCGCTGTGCTGGGTGGTGGCTGACGCATGCGGGCGGTGCCACTTGGACCTTCGGTGGAGCTCCCTGTGGGGCCACGAAATGCTGTACTGGGTGGTGGCTGGCTACGAAACGTTTTGCTGGGTGGTGGCTGACGCATGCGGGCGGTGCCACTGGGTCCTTGGGTGGAGCTCCTTGTAGGGCCACGAAACGATGTACCGGGTGGTGGCTGATGCATGCGGGCGGTGCCACTGGGACCTTCGGTGCAGCCTTCTATGGGGCCACGAAGCTCTCTGCTGGGTGGTGGCTGACGCATGCGGGCGGTCCCACTGGGGGCTCTGGTGGTACTCCCTGTGGGGCCACGAAACGTGTGAGGGGTGTGCCGAAATGGTGGACATGCGGAGTGCAGGGGCAAGGAATGGGTGGAGGGGGACGAGGAGGAGGGAGGAAGAAAGGAGGGAGGGAAGCAACGCGAGGACCGTCTCTTTAAAACGAGGACCCAACACTACAGGATGGTTGGGAACAAATATTGGGACGGTGTCTCGATTATTTGTCAAACTATGTTTTGAGTATTTTGGGGCTTTTTTATATTTCCTCCAAAATCTGCCTGCAGAGGGACATGCCCGACCTAACGCTGGCGGAAGGCTGGAGGAGGGAGGCGGAAGTAAGAGCTGAAGATGTCAGCACTCTTGGGTCCAGGGTTTGTCCAGGATCGGCCATGCACCTCCCGCCTCCCGCCTCCCAGACCCGCCTCCGCCTCATCTGATCTTCCCCTTCCTCCTGAGAGGGCGGGGAGTGGCGAGCTCGCCCCGCAGCTCCCGAGCTCCCGCCTTCGCTCTCGCAACGCGCAGCCGCCCCCGTCGGGGCGCCAGTGCAGGTCAAGAACTACGGGGTCTGGCTGAGGTACGAGAGCCGCACGGACACGCACAACATGTACAAGGCCAGAGCCTCCCCGCCCGGCGCTGGCGCGCCAGCGACGCCGGCGACGGCGTTCTGAGGGGCAAGGGGATAGGGGGGAGAGAGGCATCTAGGGATCTAGGGGGGGATGCATCGACCGCCAATCGCCCACTGATCGCCGATAGGATAGGGGCCCGATAGCCCCAACGTGGCCAGGAACGTGCGGATTCACTATCGGGGGCCTGTCGCCGATCTTTCGGCGATGTATCGCCGATTCCAGGTCGATGTTTCCCCCTATCCCCATCACCCCCTATCGTTGCCCCTCACGTTGAAGGCGGAGAGCTCTGCGCCCTTGCGGCACCAGGGGCGCGCGGGAGCACCGCAGATATAGCGACGCGGAGGCACCGAGAGACACAGTCATGCCACAGGACCCGACGGAATTCAACCTTGAACGATCGGGGCCGCGATCGATTCAAGGTTGAGCGATCGACGAGGCGTCGAGGAACTCTGCGAACGGCTGGCATTCCACTGGGTCTGCTGAGGTCGCGCGACGCGCGCGGTCATCTTCGCGCTCTCGCGTCGGCCTCGCGGAGAAGCGGCTCTGCCGCGGCCCAGGCCGCGACGCGCGGCGACCTTCGCCCACCTGCAATGCGTACCGAGGCTGGCCACCTTGCGCTTGCAGCCCGCTCTCGCCTCTCCCGGCTCCCCTCCTCTCGCCTCTCGCCCTCTGGCCTTTTCCCCTCTGTCTTGACACGCCCCGTCACCTTCCCACCCGCCCTGTCTCCCCGACCTTTTTGCATTAGGCCGACGTTGTCTGGATGGCTGTTGTGTCAGGAAACTGGCGTATAAAAGACGTCGACCGGGAAACATTGACGCGCGTGCCTACCAACTCACACTCTCTCGGATCACCTTGGCAGGCTACGTAAGCGGGGAGAGGCGGGGCGCAGAGAATGCAGAAAAGTGGGGAAGCCCTCGCGGGCGTAGAGTACGGTGGGGGCGCTGGTCTCGCGGGCGTAGAGCACTGTGGGGGCGTTGGTGAAGGGATGTGCCCGGGGGGGGGGCTTCAGACCCTGGAGGATTTCTTTATATGATGAGGTCGGCGGTGATATCCATGGCCAAGCCTCGATTGGAGTATGACCCCCCCAAGACCCCTCTGCTCGGCGGCGCGCCCCGAGGGGGAGGCTCGAGAGAGCGCGGGCTTTCTCCGAAGGGAGGAGGAGGAGGAGGAGGAGGAGGAGGAGGTCCGTAGCCATTTTGGCTCAAGACTAAACGAGGGGAAGCAACGAAGTTGCGAGGTAACTCGATTAGTCTTGTGGCCCGTCCGTGGCCATCTGTCAAGGCCTTTGGCCTGCTCTTTTCGCACTCACGACCCCCACGGGAGCGCTCGTGCGCCGTGGGCTCCGTTTCGGCATCGGTCAGTCTGCTTTCGGCGTCCCGTCACAGCCAGCATGGCCGCGATGGATGCAGCTACTGGCGCTCAGCTCCTGGAGCAATTGGAGTCTGCGCCGACGTTCCCCGACGGAGAGAGGCCTCTCGATCGCAGCCGATCGCCTTACGAAGCCGAAGAAGAGGTCTACGAATCAGCAGATGAAGAGGAAGTGGGGCAAGCTGGGGCTCGCCGCGCTTCTCGTACTTCTGCTCGTCGTGATGGTAGACGCCCTGCAGCTCGTCGTGCTGAAGCTCCAGCAAGGCGCCCTGCCCCTCAGGCCGTTCACCGTGCCCCTGCGGCCGCGCCAGAGGATGACACCGTCGCAGGCCTCCGCACATACGTGGACAGCACCAAAGATGAGCTTCTTAATGCCATCACCGCCATCCAGTCGTCGGTCACCGCGCTTGCCTCCACTGTCCAGCGTAGCTGCACTCAGCTCGGACAACAGGTGGAGCACCGCATGTCCAAGGTCGAGTCCACCCAGGCTACGCAAGCCAAGCTCATCGAGGCCCTTGATGCGAAGATATCCCAGATGCAGAAGGAGATCGGGCTCATGCGCTCTGAGACCCCCACGAAGTTGGAGGTCAACTCCGCGTTCCAGCGCGAGGCTGACCCCACGATCATCGTCTGCCGCACGAAGTCCCTGGTCTCGAAGGCTAGCATCTTGGTCAGCACCCGTGACTGGCTTACGGCTGCCAACTGTGGTGAAGGAGATTTCGATCTGGTTGCTGAGCCCACATCTAAGCGATTCACTCTGCAATTCAAGGGTTGCCCAACATATGCAGCGAGGAAGGTCAATATGTGTTTGTCTCAGCTCAAGCTCGGCCCCAACAACTGGCGTCGTTTCACGGCCCAGGACGTTCAGAACCAAGAAGTTGAAGTTCATGTCTCGGCAGACAAATCCTTGTACCAGGTCAAGGTGGAGCTGCTCCTCAAGCTGCTGCGCAGGACCATCAACGAGATCTACCCGCACGTGGAGCTGTTCGCCAACAAGGCGCGAGGGGAGCTCTCGCACCGCTGGAAGCCGCTCCTTCGCGTTATCCCGAGTGCCGACTCTGACCACAAGGTGGAGTGGGCGCTGGCCAACCTCACGGAGCTCCGCATGGACAAGGACACGATCGCCAGGCACATCCAGAGGCACCTTTCGAACTCACAGGAGATCGAGTGGAGTCTTTGACACGTTCTTCAGACAGTGGCGAGGCACATCTACCTCGCACTCGGGGCTAACTTGTACCTCGTGGAATGCGCGTGCGTTATTCCATCATGACTTGCGGCTCAGAGACCGCAAGCTGCGCTACCTCTCGAAGCTCATATCGCCAGGCTCCATTGTATCGGTTCAGGAATCGCATGGAGATAGGCATCGGGTCGCCGATTTTCTATATAATCTGCACAGACCAGTTTTGGCCATCTCTTCGTTTAGGCGGTGCGAGCCAGGACATCCAGCTGGTGGTGTCATCACGTTCTTCCCCAACTTTCGTGCGCTCCATCATCCTCATCCCCCTCAGGTTTCTGAAGAAGCACTGGTAGAAGGTCGGGTTCTCCGTGTACAGTTTTGTTTTCAGGAACAAGTCTCCCTGGTCCACTACAACATCCATAACCATGGGCTAAAAGCTGAAGTTCGGGATCGGCCTCTCCGTCGAATCCAACGGGACCTCCGGGATGCTGAGCAAGACCCATTACATAAGCTCGTCGTCGTCCACGGGGACCTCAATATCGCTAGAAGCCCTCCTGTACCTCTGAACCACTTCTCCCCCGACCTGGACACCCCCCAAGATCCCTCTCAAGACCCCCGACGGACCGCCGACAGGGCCTGGGACGGAGTTTTGAATACCTTGGTTGAGTTGGACAGCGAGGATTTCACACACTTCCATGAAGGGACGCGGACTTTAGCCAGAATTGATCGAGCTTTTGTGTCATGGCCAGGGTGGAGCCTGACGCAGTTGAGCACGGTCACGAGGGTGCACGGCCTCCCAGAGATTCTCTGTCGGTCTCATCTCTCTGATCACAGTGCACTCATGTTCTCAATTTCCCCACGTAAACCTCTACCTCCAGAAGATAGGCCTGTGCATCCAGACCTTTTCAGTACGCCAGAGTATGCCAAGTTCATCAAGATGACCTTGGCGCAGTCCTCGTGCGAGGACCTGTCGGTGCCCCAGCGTTTGGAGTACCACAAGATGGTGATGAAAGAGGCAGCTAGATTCGCCAGGGACTCGATCGTCGTGAAAAGGCCCCTCGATCCCCTGTCGCAGTACATCGTGTGTCGCTCGATCGCCAGGGCCCTCTGGAAGCAAGATAGGACGCTCGCGGACCGACTCGTTCTGGCTCATCCGCTCGCTCGGGATCATCTCGAATTGCCTCCTTTCTACACCACAGTCGAGCTGAAGGATCCAGTTCGGTTCACTCAGCTCACAAATGATGTCCACATGCGCCTGATTGCGGACTCCCAGAAGCGGACCAAGCAGCAGATAGGTGAGGAAACCCCAGCCCGTGCCAGAGCCAAACTTGTGAGGAAGCTCAAGAGTCTGGAACGACGAGGTAAGCTGTGGTTGCCTTTTGGACGTAAACTGGGCCTCGCTGGCCTTGCTCTGCCTGACGGCTCCGTCACCCACAACCCGAAGGTCATGCTCGGTGGTTTGGCTCGGCACTGGGGGGAAGTCTTTTCGGAGAAGCCCATATATAGCCCTGCAGCCAGACTATACGTCCAGAAGTTCTTGGGGGACCTCGACCTCTCCTACCTCAAGCCTCCCACTCAATATGATATAGAGAAACACCTTCGACATTGCCCTCCTAGTGCTCCAGGACCCGACGGGCTCCCCTACAAGGCTTGGCAGTTCCACCCCAAGGGCCCCGAGATGCTCGCTGAGGTTATGCACTGGATGCTCGAAGGTAACCAGATGGGGCTCACGTTCAACGATGTTCGAGGCGTCTTTTTAGCTAAAGGCGATCAGCCTGGTGACGCTGCAGGCCCTGTGCGCGAGCCTGGAGCGACCCGACCGCTAGGCCTGAAGAATGCAGACTGCAAGGTGGTGACGGCTGTTTGCACGCGCGAGCTGACGAAAGCACTGCCGACCAAAATTGATACAACGCAGAGAGGATTTATCCCCACACGTAACCTCGGCATGAACATATACGAGCTGGACGCGTATGCGAGGATGACAGGCATGGAACCTGCTGCTGCTGAGCGCCTCCCCCTCCTCCTTGCCTTTGACTACAGCCACGCTTTCCCATCCGTCTCTCACGAATGGATTTTTCTTGTCTTATCTGCTTGCTCCCTCCCCCCTCCACTGCTGATGTTCTACCACTTTATCTACCGCTTTGTCTGTTGCTTTGCTCAGGCAGGCTCCTCTCTCCTCCCTCTCTTCTTCTTAGGGTCTGGCATCGTTCAGGGCTGCCCGGCCTCGGGGACCTTGTATGCCCTTGCATCCGAGCCTTTCAACGCGCACTTTAGAATGACCATTCTGAAGAAATGCCGAGGCATCATTCGATGCTGCGCCGATGATGTAGGAGGAGTCATTCACAAAATAGAATGGCTCAAAAAACTGTACACCGTCTTTGCTGCTGCCGAGCGGGTCGCAGGGCTGCGTTTGAAAATAATCAAATGTTTTGCCGTCCCG